TTTTTGTGTTGTTTCGGCGAGTGCATTTGGCACTCGTATCTATACCAAAGTGTCGCTCCAATTGCTTCGTAATTGGTTACCGCTCTTGGAATTTCATTGGATTTTGCGTGGCAGTGCAAGCAACAAGCAGTGGAAATGTTTCTGGAATCTGTATTTATATGCGGAAGAACCTTGAAGGTGTCTTGCATTTATTTATTTGCACTCAAATCTGTAAGTGCAGGGCATTCCATAGTCGTTGGTTTTTGCTTGATTTGTTTTGTGTCTGGAATATGATGTTTATTATTTGCATCTCGGTCCGGTCGCTCTCCATTTGATGCATCTGCTGCTGCTGCTGTGCCTGCCTGCCTGCCTGCCGTCCAGGGTTCATAAGTATTTATAATTTGATACGACAACAACATCGTCGTCGTATCGTCGCATCGTCGCAGCGGCTGCAAAACAGCAATCAAAATCAGGGATGCCCCTCTCTCTGGTTTGGCTCTTCTGCAACCTCCTGCCATGGAGCTGCCTCTTTGCAACTGGTTTTAATGGCTCCCGTTATTTGCTGTAGAATCTTTCCAACCAGCTTTTGCGAAGGGGCGAACCACTCAAGTTGAAATAATTTTAATTTAGTTGCTTTCGGGCTCTCTGGCGCTCCAACTATAAACAGGCTGGCTCCGGCTCCGGCTCCGGCTCCCGCTTCGTCCTGGTATCGCTCCATCCTGCTTTTATGCTGGTCGCCTGCACTTCCCCCATCCCCCATCCCCCTCCTTGCCACCACTCAACTGCTGCTCCTTCCATCTCCAACCCTGGGTTGTCATCAGCAGTTTTCCATTGATAAGCAACACGCACTCTCAAGCCCCACAAGCGAGTGATGCCGATGCTGAGATGCCGATGCCGATGCTGATGCTGATGCTGATGATGCCACGTCATGTGGTGATTATGTCTGGAAGCGTTTCAAAAAAGGGGTGAGGCAAAAGCTGGTGGCTGGGGGCCAGAATGAGTTGATGCCGCAGAAGGAGGGGTGGGTAGCTTATGCTTTGATTCACAAGAGTTTCAAGTAGATTCAATAACGTTGAAGGAGTAACGAACACTTGTCAGAAAACGCAACTCGAACAGGATAGGAAATACGAGAACAAGAAGATACATACATATACATATACATACATATACATATACATACATATACATATACATATACATATACATATACATATACATATACATATACATATACATATACATATACATATACATATACATATACATATACATATACATATACATATACATATACATATAAATATAAATATACATATACATATACATATACATATACATATACATATACATATACATATACATATACATATACATATACATATACATATACATATACATATACATATACATATACATATATACATATACTCTTTGAACTTTGAGAAGTTTGACCTTCTGCAATGTTTTAATCTTATTTTTCAGGTTGCGGTCGGCCTCTTTCGTCCTCCAATTGTTTAGTGCTGGTTCTTACTGGTCAGGGATTTGACCTTATCGTTGAGCTTTTGCAGAGTGGTAAGGCTGCTAGCTCCTAGAATACGATCGAGGCATCTAAACGTTCGACGTTTATGACGATGTGGAAGTGCTTGCTGTTGAGTTCAGCGTCCCAGATCTGTTGAAAAAACTTATGCACCAATTCCCCCTCTGACATATGGCTTGGTTCCACCAGGAACGCTGCAAGCATGGCTCCCAGTGCGTCACACTTTAGTGTGACCCTGCTCCATGGTGTTCAATGTGACCAATTCTATTTGCATTGTTTTAAATGCATAAAATGAGGGTATTCAAAGGTAAATAGGAGCCAATTTGCTTATAATTCTGGTGGCCATTTACACGTCTGCAATCGATTTTAAATTAAACTGATGGGAGGGGTATCATTTTGAGCGTAGTACTCAGATCTGAAATATTGCAAAATAATTTGCAAGCGGCAGAGTGTGACCACAGGGTGACCACTGAGTTCCATACGGTAACACTTTCCAGGCAGCTGTTCTGTTTTGCTTACTTTGTGAAAGCAGAATACAAAGGAAAGAAAACATTGAACAGGAAATGGATGCAAGCAGGAGATTACTTATAGTGGGACTGGGACTGGGACTGGCAGCTCTTGTGGTAACGGAGGAGGAGAACAATCAACGCCGACAACATTGAGTAAACCTATATCTGCGGGACAGGAACATAGAGGGTCGTTTGTCCATACAAATATATGTTATAAATAATGTAAATATGTGTATATGAATGGGGAAGCACATCTAACAATAGCCTTTGCACACTCCGCAGTTGAGTAATATGACACAAAGACCATCAGTAATCTTTGAGAATTCGCATACGTCTGAGAAGAACTTGTGCAGCCTGTTTGGATTATTTTTGTCTAGACTAAATACTTTCTAGCAACGAACAATAAATAAATTACAGCCCAGAGACATCGCAGCCAATTTCTGAACATTAACCATGTTACGAAAAAGTTACATGTAAATAATATACAAATCTTTCGAATGATGCGTTTCGTGCAAGGTATTTATTTACCTGGTCAAATATTGGAACCTCAAGATGAGATGCTAAGGAAGTCGCCAACTTGGAAGGCTGCATGGGGAGCGACTCTCAGTTTAGGCACGTTGACAGCTGAGAGTTAGGCGACTTTGGTTATATCTTTGAGCACTAAAAACATTTCGACGTTCGGCGTTGGCTTACAATTCCTTTCCTAGTTCCTGTTGCTTCTTGGCATCTGCGACCAACGCAGAGCACTTCCGCAGAGGAAGTGAGCTTCTATTAGTGCATCACTTTGAGCTGTAACTGACCGATTGGCCCTTTAGCCTTTATCCTTGGCGCATCCATTCTTTCCGGGTAGTGTTATTTCCGGTGTATCGTCCTATCGTCCTACAGCCACTCGTTATGCCTCCAACGGTGGCTATGAGTATCGTCTGAAGCACTAAACGGATCTCAAAATGCGCTGGAGAAAACAGTCGGTAGGCCATTTTGGTGTGCATGATTTCAGCAGAGAGCTAATAAAAGAGTTCTCTGAGGAGTATACATATTTCCACGAACTATCTTCCATTTATCTAACTAAATATTTTCCGCTTCTTATTCCATTTTTATTTGATTTTACTCAAACTTTTTTATAGGCGAACGTTTTGTTTACGGAATGATTATTTGAACTCAGAGCATGGGAATGTTTAAGTCAATGTGGGCGAGATAATGGCCAAGAAATGGATACGCCAACGACACAGCCGACACCAATTCGAGCTCGTGGCACATCCCAGTCCGAGCAACCAAATGGAATCGGGCATTTCGGTAGCCATCTGTGAGCTGGACGTCTGTTTTGGTCGTAGCATTCGGTGGAGAACATTCGGCAGGCCAAATTGCTGAGCCGCAAAGGAGGAGGATCATATGCTGCCGCACATGCACTCGTACCAGGGATGGTAATCATTATAAGCGGTATAAAAAAATTATACGATAATGATTACCTGTCAAGTCATATCGAAATATTCACAATATAATGATTAATTTTTAGTTATATTTTACTACTCAATGAATATTGATTATTTTTTGCTCAAAAATAAAACTCAACTTCAAATTTACCCACACGTTCCTTCTCGTTTTCTTTTCATGTTAAGCAAAGTGCTCTATGGATCATTCCAGAAAGATGTCAGCATTTGGCTGGACAATCAGTCTCAAGGATATGCAATCTCCTACTGTCGGAAGTTGGTTTTAATTTAATTTTACATTTTTTGTTTATATTATTTGTTTTAAAGCGACCAGATACAAGATTCTTGTAAGTAAATGCACAAATCACAAAAATGTAATCCTTCAAAATATAATTTCTCGTTCTTATAATGAAACTAGAAGGGTCGTGTGAGACGCTTCTTACGCGTCACAACTTTTATACCCGCTACTCAGTCTTGTAGTTTTTTTTTGGCTCTTCTTTCAATGGGCTCTGGAGAGTATTTTGCGTGGCTTGAAGCGGGAAGCATTTCCCCGCACAATAATACTCATGCACCCTCCACGACTTACCATATAATTTCGCTGCAATATGCTCCAAAAGACAAACCCCCATAGAGAGAAATATGTTAACAAAACAAGTCAATTATTAGTTAAATGAGTTGTTGCTGGTGTAATTATTTATTTTGTTTTGTTTGTTGTTTGAACGTGGGCTGGGCTGCTTTTGAATTTTAGCAACGACAATGGGGCAATTTGGCAGCTTCTGCACTTAATTGTGGCACGGGGCACGGGGCACGGGGCATAGGGCATCCCACAAAAGGGAGCACTGTGCCCTGCCATTGAGTTCATCGCCAGTCCTCCCCCCATATTAATTCATTCATTCGTTTCATTCATTGCTTTTCATTGATCTTTCGCTTTATGCGCTGAGACCACCGATTCATTGTTTGGATTTTTCGTTGAGCCATTCTTTCCATGGACCATTGGCTAATCAGTACGCCCCCGAACTCGCCCTCGCCATGCAACTGTTTGCATATCCCAAGATTACATATTTACATATTTACATATTTATGTATGAAGCACCCAGAAGTGAAGCTCTCTTCGCTGTAAATTTGAGTGGCGCCTGCAGAGACCTTAGCTTCCATCATCTGCGTCTTTAATTATTCAAACTAATTAATTAATTGAGCTTGAAATATTTTTCTGTAATGCCCAATTGGCGGTTTCTGGCGCGTAACTTTCATCTTTGATCTGTTGCTGAAATTCTTAGTGCGAATATGGGAAACAATTTCTTATTGGTTCCATGTTTTAGTTGTTTTATTTCGTATTATTTTTGCAACAAACAAAAAGTTTGTGCAAACAAACATAACATAATTTTTTGCAACAATTAATTATGATGAAACCATCAACTCATTTGTGTACCCATTCCATCATTCCATTCCGGATAAATTGATCTCAAGCTAAATTGAAAATACAAAATTCCCTAACGCCTGCTCTCAGTGCTTTATCGATAACCAAACTGAATGTCCAGTTCCCAGTTTCATTTCTAGAAGTGCAAGTCAGATTTACGGAGATTTCAATTAAAAAAAAAAGCAAATAACAATTGTAAGTAGCTTCAATTCCATTAACTGTTCGTGCAGTCGCAGGCACAACAAGATTCTTGCAAATTAGAACGCTTTTAGAATCGAATTGTCTAGCAATTAGAACCGACCATTTTAGTGCTTTGCAAATGCCGGTGCAAGATTTTATTTTGTTGTATTGCTTACACAGCTGTGCCCTTTCGTTTAGTTTTGCAGAAACAATACAAAATGCCTGATCCCAGAGTTATTCGCATGCACACACACACACACACACACACACACACATATGTATATATGTGTGCGAATACCAATACATTGGCGGCATTGGTACGAATCACTGAGATACACGTGTAGGTGAGCGGCAGAGCCTTGTCCCATGCACAATAGATGGGGCCGGGCCGAGCCCCGATATGTGTGTACAGTTTTAATGTTTTAATGTTTTTAACAAGTAGTTTAACAACAAATATCTGTGATAAAATGCAAGCTTATTTCAAAACTTTTAGCACCAAAATGTCGGGCAAATTCAAAATATCTGAATATTTTTCAAAATACGTTCGCTACATGAGGGGTCCGTTCAAGCATCGGAAGATGCCGTTAAAGTTGATTAAAGGAATCAAAAAGAAAGTACCTCTTAAACGTTACTTAAACAATTTATTGGGTAACGCAAAGAAAGTGATGCTTTTATGCCAGGATGGTCTAATTCGGCAGAAGAGCAGCATTAGCTTTCGCGAAGAGTCCGCCACACCGGAACCGCCGAGTCGCGACGAGCTCGAACCGAACATGACGGATCCGCAGCAGGACCCAATTCCATCGAACACTTCGAACACATCGAACACATCGAACACATCGATCACATCGAACATGTGGCCTGAACTCTGGGTATATGACGATAAGATGAGTCATTGTAAGCGATGCGGCAAAATCTCTAACAAACGCAGTTATCGGGGCCTAAGCGTGTGCGAGTGCTGGTGCACCAGCTTGTTCGATTCCAAGCCGCCCTCTCAGAAAACCGAATATATCGATCTCTTTCATCCCTGCGCCGAGGAAAACTTCTATCGTCTGTTCCTGGGGGAGAGCACGCTCCCGATACTCGAGAACCACATGGTATCACATACAAAATTGACACCCAATAGGCGCAGCGTTCTCGTCAACTGGGTCCATGCTGTACACTCCAAACTGCTCTTGTGTGACGGGGTCTTTGAGATGGCCATCGGCATTATCGATCGCTATCTGCAGTGGGTCAAGGAAATTCTGCCCTCGGATCTCAATCTGATGGGCCTCAGTGCCCTGATCTTGGCCAGCAAGTATGAGAATCCACGGACATACAATCAATGGTTTTTGAAGCACACGGACGAAGGCTTCACGGACGAAATGATTAGTGACATGGAGTTGAAGATTTTGCTGGCATTCAAGGGTGATATATCGCGTCCGGTGCCGAGCCAATTTTTGCAGCGCTTGTGTAATGCCACGGAGGACTTTGGTATGAAATGCCAACAACTGGCGCATTACTATGTGCAACTGGCGTTGATGGACACCGAATTGGCCAGCGTCAAGCCATCGCAGATAGCCGCTGCTGCGCTCTTCATCGCGCTCAACCTGTCCGACGGCACCCCCGACGGTGGCCTCGACGAAAGTCTCTGGACACGCCAGCTCGCCGATTGCTCCCGTTACACGTCTCTCCAACTGAGAGCCACCGTCCTGCGCATGGCTCAGCTGCCGCTCAAGGCCGAACAGGAGGAGCTGTTGTCCATCCGCAAGAAATTCAAGTATATTTCTGTTTCGGTCGGACCCCGTCTGGAATCGATCCTGAACATTCGTGATTAAGTAAGTACAAAAAGACAAGCAAACATTTTCCTAATTGAAATTATCCCCGCAGTAATCCACACACTCCATGATGCTGCCAAGGATGAACAACAAAAACCACATTCTAGTCAAATGCACCAAAGGGAAGAACGGAACACACACACCTTCATGCATACACCACAGATATACACTGACACCGGAACACANTTGAAGCACACGGACGAAGGCTTCACGGACGAAATGATTAGTGACATGGAGTTGAAGATTTTGCTGGCATTCAAGGGTGATATATCGCGTCCGGTGCCGAGCCAATTTTTGCAGCGCTTGTGTAATGCCACGGAGGACTTTGGTATGAAATGCCAACAACTGGCGCATTACTATGTGCAACTGGCGTTGATGGACACCGAATTGGCCAGCGTCAAGCCATCGCAGATAGCCGCTGCTGCGCTCTTCATCGCGCTCAACCTGTCCGACGGCACCCCCGACGGTGGCCTCGACGAAAGTCTCTGGACACGCCAGCTCGCCGATTGCTCCCGTTACACGTCTCTCCAACTGAGAGCCACCGTCCTGCGCATGGCTCAGCTGCCGCTCAAGGCCGAACAGGAGGAGCTGTTGTCCATCCGCAAGAAATTCAAGTATAATTCTGTTTCGGTCGGACCCCGTCTGGAATCGATCCTGAACATTCGTGAGAATAAGTAAGTACAAAAAGACAAGCAAACATTTTCCTAATTGAAATTATCCCCGCAGTAATCCACACACTCCATGATGCTGCCAAGGATGAACAACAAAAACCACATTCTAGTCAAATGCACCAAAGGGAAGAACGGAACACACACACACATTCATGCATACACCACAGATATACACTGACACCGGAACACACAGACAACAGATAAGCACTGATATCGAATTATCGCGCTCTGATCATCGTTAATTGTACAATTTTTACACCTACCTACTAACATTTACACAAATAACATGACATCTATCTACACAAATGTACAAAAATGGAATATTAAATTGTATTCAAACCATAGAAAAGAGCATTTACATGAGGATTTACATTAATAGCACTGTGTAGCACACAGTTGGCTAAGGGAACAACAACTACTTGGTGTGTAAACTCATTACGCAAGACCATTACAAGCCAAGGCCAAGGCCGATCGGGAGAGCGAGCACGAGCTACTGCTAACAGAGCGTTGTCTAACAGCGGCCTTTCGCTAACAGGCTGTTAACATGGAGCGCTAACATTCTGTTGCTCTGGGCTGTTAATAGCACTGCTGGTCGGAACAGCAATAATTAAGCTTCTCCTGCCCTCTGTTATTGTCCCATACGACTGCTCCATTCCTCAGAGTTCGCTTAAGTTTATGTTCAGGTCTGAGCGAGAGTCCAATAATTACGTCTGGCCTATGTTGATGGCGGATTAATGTGCAAATGTCAACTCGATCGCAGAGATCAGCCATAGCCATGGTTAAATATCCGATACAAGATGAACTTGCTCTGCGCACGCGCCTAACACGAGCGCTAATTTTCGGGCTCTTAATTAATGCGAACCACGAAGCTAATATCGAAATCATATCAATATTCAAATCTAAAACGCCATTCCGTAGGGAATGACCGTATTTATCAGATCACCAAATTGGGATCCGATTGGATCATAATTATAGCCAGAATGAAGAAATTAATTTGCAGTGGCTAAACCCACCCTGTCCCGCAGCTTAAATTTGTTTTTTTGCACATTCTCTCATTCACACTCTGCTTCGGCCTCTGCAGTGTGTGGGTCTAGGGAAGGGCGGCGAGCTAACGGAGCGTGTGGGTGTGAGAAGTGTTGTAGATGTAGATGACAGATGAAGAAAGAATGTAAAATTTGACAAAACACCGCTAAGGTGCAGATGTAGTACTGAGTGCCGGGTATAAAAGTTGTGACGCGTAAGAAGCGTCACACACGTCCCTCCCGTTTTATTTAAAAAATAAAAAATAATCTATATTTGCAGTTCCTGTCCCGTACCATCATCTCGGGCCTGCGATGTGAACCCGAACCGGAGCCTGACCTGTAGCTGATCCTCTAGAGGGCGCGGGTGTGCATGTCCAAATAGTAGAGCTGTCCTTCTTGTGCAGCATCAGCTCCTTGTGGCTGCCGTATATCCACTCCACTTGCCATAACAATTCTTTTCAAATCAACAAGAGTTTTCCTCCTTCTTTGGCTTTCTTGCCATTACCATTGGGGTCGTGAGCGAAGCTTCTTCCTAAGGCAGACAAGCCGCATATCGGGGCGGGAGCTGGGTGGGTGTTCTGTGTGTCTGTGGGAAAGTAATTAATTTCAATTTGTAAAGTTCACAAGTTGTGTCTCAACCCAGCGCCAGCCAAGCCAAGACAAGACTCCGTTGCACAATGCCCGTTTGGCTTCCCCCTGACAAGCTGAAATAATTGTGGTGCATTCAGATAAGCTCTCAACGAGGAAAACAAGGACAACTTAATATTCATTGGGTGCATGGGCTCCTCTCTAACCCCGAACCACGAACCCCAAAATGAACAGCAGAAAAAGAAGAATTCTCGGGCGGGTTTCTATTCATTTCTGGATCAGGCCCCTCGACCTCTTTTTGCATTGGTTGATTTCAATTTTTTGAGCCATTTCAGTTGAATTTCAGCAGTCCCCCAACTGACAGACGGCAGACCACCCCAGACCCATCAGGAAGCCCTCATGCCACACGAAACGAATGCTATAAATTTATTTGCCATAAATTTACGACCTGCTGCAATGCAGGCAATTGCAACAGTAACTATAACAATAGAAACAGAATTAGAAACAGCAATAGAAATACAAACACAAATACAAATAGAAATGGAGCAAATGACAATCGAAAACGTTGCATTTCTCGTTTGCTTGAGTTTTTGAAATAGTCTGGCAAAAGTTTACTAATGAAGATAAATGGATAATGGATCGAATGGGAATGCAAATATGAGACCAGAGAATGGAGCTACACATATGGCAAGGTTCAAGATCTTTAGAGAATATCTTTATTAAAGCAACCCAACTGCTCCCGCCCAACCGACCGAGGGGCGCTGCCGCATGACGCGCGGCGCGATTAACCGAACATGCAAACATGCAGGAAAGATAGATGTTAGGCTAATGTTCGAGGAAAATTAGAGCTAAACACAACTAAACTAGAGCAACTATAGCTAAGCAAGAAGAGATTTAAGAAGAGGAAGGGAGTTAGTTGATTATATAATGTGGTAGAGGGAATTATAATCCGAGCATAAAACCCTAAAGGGTTTGTGCAAGGCATAATTCGATCTGCACGGTGAAAGGAACAAAGGAATATAGTTTCTATTGGGTCTAATGGGAATCGTAAAGTTTACGCGGCTCAACAAGTCAGGGCTGTCTACATCCCCCTTGATCAAGTTGTGCATAAAAATTACTAACCAAGGATGGAAGATTTATTAAACGGAGTCTACTACGGTAGGATGGCAGTCTCACAGTTGCATCCTAGTCGAGGCCACGCAGGGCAAAAAGTAATACGTTGTTCTGCACTGATTCACTACGGTCCTGATGTAAGTATGTTGTACTGAGGGCACCATACACTTGAGCCGTATTCTAAAATCGGACGAACAAGCGAGATATAGAGAGTCTTCGTCATCAAATTCCTTTGACCCCCTCTAGCACACAATTTATTTTGGAATTTATACAACTCTCTGTTTAAATTCGAATTATTCCGCAATTGCCTTTTCTTTTCTTATATTATCTTAAGAATTTTGGAGTTTAAATTTGGACACCCGAGACTCAATTTGTACGCACGTATGGGGCATTCCCCTTGGATCGAAATGAACAGCCAATAAAAATAAGAAAGCAAATCCCTCAAATTATATTCCAATAGTATTTTAAAATTAAAATATACATTTATTAAATGATCAATTAATTGTTATTAATTTGTAATTTCTGGCTATGGTAGTCCCAAAAGCAAATCAAAAATTTAAGTTTTCAGGTGTTCAAGTCACAGGTTGGTTTAAGATGATGAGAACAATGTGGAAAATGAGAAAGGCCATGCAAATGTAACTCAAAAACTGTCCACATCCAAGTAATCGCTGCAAGGGGTTGCATCTGAGGGTTCGGGCGGGCCACTTCGGAGCCACAGGGACAGATCAGCCCATTACCCCGAAAATGCGGGCAACTTGGTACATGACATCCAGCTGGGACTCGACCTTGTGTTAGGTTAGGACGATCGGGTTGTTGTCGCTGTCTAGCAGAGGCTTGTGCCGAACGCTCCTCGTAATTTACGGTTGCTGTCTCGGGTTGTCAATTTCGCGCAGTCACCAATTTAACTGGAGCCTGAGATGGCTTCTGTGGTGGATTCTGTGTTGGCTTCTTTGGTGGTTCTGGCTGTGCTTTTGCTTCTTGTACTGCTGCTGGCTCTGGTTCCTGGACTGCCATTGTACTTAGTTCTAAATCTTTGAGCTGGCATCCTGCTTCCTGCTGACTTGGTTCTGCCGGTTCGCCAGCGGGTGGCATGCGAACTCGAACCTGTTGTCGTGTGGGCAGATTGTAGGCCCTTAGCCTTAGCCCGGTTCCCTGGCATCCTTCTCTGTGGATTATGGTCAGCACGAGGATCCAACTAGGGGAGGGTGGCGTGCTAAGAGATGATGTAGATGTAGATCTAGATGACAGATGTAGAAAAAATGTTACATCTCAAATGTAAAATTCGAGTAAAACAATATACTGACTGGGTACCGGGGTGACGCGTACGAAGCGTCTCACACGTCTCACAAGCGTCTCTTCTCGTTGAGTATGTGTATGTGTTTTTTTAGCGACAGAGAGACTTGCCTTCTCCTAAAGCCGTACAGTGGCCAAAGCGAGTGGCTGATCACGGAAAAGATCATGGTCTACCGCCTAGCCCCTTCAGTTCGCTCCGCCCAAAGGTCTGAGATTCGGGCAGGTTTATTACCAACTTCCCTTCATGGTTCCTATTCACTTAATATTCTCTCCGCCTAAAAGAAGGGCAGCTCGGTCTGCCAGGTGAAAGGCGTGGACAGTAAGAAAGGGTTGCAATGGGTCACTTCTGCCCGAGTATATTTTTACTCTTTCTACAGTTGGGCCTTAAGTCGACTTTGAGCTCTTCGCTCTTTATTAATTTTTAATAATTAATATTTAATAATAGACTCTGCCATTGATGCTGATCAAGAATATATGTATACATATACTTTATGGGCACTTTTGTGCACAAGTACAATAAACCCTATTTACTCTTCGAGTACCGGGTATAACAAGAAAGACAAATAAATAAATGGTCCGCTCCGGTACCCAACCAACCAACCAATTTCTCAGATATCCAATTAAATCAAAGGCAACTTCAACTTCATTCACATGCGACGATCCTCGTCAATCGCATAGATCAAAATTATCATTTGTCGACAATTTTTCATGCTCATCCTCTGGCTCACTCCCTCACACTCTCAAATGGAGATTTTTTGGGTAGAAAAAAAACAACACACGAATCTGGAAAGATGAGAAGTATAGTAACGGAAGAGAGAGGGGCAGAGCAGGGCAGGGCGAGAGTAGAGAAGGAGAAACTACGAGTAACCCACTATGTGAGAGTCATGTGAATTATGTGAAGGGCTCAGGGCAATATTTTATGGTCCTGTGCCTGTGCCTGTGCCATTTGTTTGTGTGTGTGTGTGTGTGTCATAATTTACAACTGTTGCAGGAGAAGGAAGGAACAAGGGCCAAGAGCCGAGAGCCGAGAGCTATAGCCCTGATTAGATTACAATTTCCTTTCCGCCTTTCCATCTCCCTCTTCTGGCTTCCTACAAATTGGATCAAAAATGTATTCCCCCGAAATTGTTATTGCCGTTCCTCTGCTGTTCCTGCCCCTTAATTTCCTAGTTCCTGGAGCTACAACAACGAACAGAAAACAAAAAATGTTTAAGTTCAGGTTAATGTCAGAGGAAGACTTCCAAAAACTTCGTAGAAAAGAAGTTGGCTCTGAAAATTACAGCAGCAGCAGCAG